ATGTTTGATGTCAGGCCCTAATTTAAATCCTAACTTGTTGGATATAATTTTAAAATTTCGCGTACATAAAGTTGCATTTTGTGCAGACATAGAGAAGGCTTTTCACCAAATTCAAATTGATAGTGAAGATAGAAATTTTTTAAGGTTCTTGTGGTTTGATCATTCTTACGACAATAGTGACAATAGTTTAGGCTTTAAGGTTTTCCGAATGTGCCGAGTGCCGTTTGGAATGACAACAAGTCCGTTTATTTTGTCCGCCACTATCAAACATCATATTAAGGGTTATGAAAAGAAATATAGCAAAGCTGTTGACATGTTAAATAAGTCCTTATATGTTGATGACCTTATCCATGGAGCAGACTCCGTTGAAGAAGTTTTCTCATTATCAACTGATGCAGTTAAAATTCTTCAAGACGCTGGTATGAACTTAAGAAAATTTGAATCAAATTCCGTATCTTTAAAAAATCATTGGCAAGATATTGGTTTAATTAATAAGGAAGATAATTTGGATAAGAAAACGTTAAAGGTGCTGGGAATAATTTGGGATTTGGATGAGGAGGACACATTGAAATTAGATGTACAAGAACTTTTACAACCAGTTGACTGGAAACACGTTACAAAGCGAAAGGTATTACAGATTGTGGCAAAAATTTATGACCCAGTTGGATTCATTGCACCCTTTGTTATCAGAATAAAATTCTTATTACAAGAGTTATGGGAATTGGGTATTGATTGGGACACAATTTTGCCCAGTTATTTGAGTGAAAAATTTAAAACTTGGTACTTTGAAATTGAAGTTATTCTCAACTTGTGTATTCCTAGAAAATACATATTAAATGATGAATGTGTAAATTTCGATAAAATAGAGCTTTTTGTCTTTTGTGACGCCAGCCTCAAGGGATATGGAGCTGTTGCATATTTTCGTGATCCTGATTCTTGCTGTACGTCTTTTGTTCTTTCAAAGAGCCGTGTATCCCCACTTAAAAAATTAACCTTGCCTCGTTTAGAACTTATGGGAGCCATTATTGCCGCAAGAATAGTTAAATATTTAAGGAAATTATTTAATATCCAAGAAGATAATGTATTTTGTTTTAGTGACTCTAAAATTGTTCTTCACTGGATCAGGGGTACCGCTGATAAATGGAAACCCTTTGTTGCTAATCGTGTACGTGAAATACAAGATGTTGTATCACCTTCGCAATGGAAATACTGTAAGGGAAATGACAATCCGGCTGACATAGTTTCACGTGGATTAAGAGCTTCTGATCTAGTGGAAATAAACTTTGGTTCAATGGACCAGTGTGGTTAAAAGAGAAAAATTACCTTCATCATCTTTTGATCCTTTGATCGAGCCTATGGTGGAAGAGGTACAGGTAGAACAGCGTCAAACTACTGTATGTTCTGTTATTAGCCAAGAGGCTGAATTTGAATTGACATCCAGGTTTTCATCCTGGAAAAAATTGAAACGCGTAACTGCATGGTGTTTAAGATTCTGCCACAATATTAAACCTACATCTTTAAAACTCAAGGGTTTTTTAAAACAGTTCAAGAATTGGATAAGGCAAGCAATTTGATTTTTAAAATCATGCAAAATTCCGAATTTAGAGAAGAAATTAGACTTTTGAAAGCAGGGAAGAAATTGAATCTCAGCAGTAAAATCCTGAAATTAAATCCTTTTCTTGATAGAGAAGAAATCCTTAGAGTCGGTGGTAGACTCTGTAACTCGAATCTTTCAGAAAACACAAAGTATCCAATCATTCTTCCCAAAAGTCACCAAGTTACTGAATTGATAGTCAAACACTTTCACGAAGTGAACCTTCACGGAGGAGCCACATTAACATTATCTGCTCTGCGACAGAAATATTGGATCGTTAATGGCCGAGAAATTGTAAGAAAAATAATTTGGAAATGTATAAAATGTTTTAAAAATAGATTTTGCAGGCCCCTTTTTAATTAAAGCTAGGAAAGGAAGAGGAGGAACGAGATATATATGTTACGTTTGCCTTTACATATGCTTCACCACAAAGGCCATTCACCTAGAAGTGGTCAGTGATCTAACAACTGAAGCATTCCTAACATCTCTGAAAAGATTTGTGTCACGCAGAGCAAAAACCCAAGAAAATCTTTTCCGATAGAGGAACCAACTTTGTTGGGGCTGATCGAGAATTAAGAAGATACATAGCTACACTTTCCTCTGACGAAGCATTTCAAAACTACCTGAGCGGTGAAAATATTCAATGGATCTTCAATCCTCCTGCTGCCCCTCACTTTGGAGGCCTTTGGGAGGCTGGAGTGAAACAAATGAAGATTCACTTAAAGCGACTATTGGGACCCAGGTTCTGACATACGAAGAATTTCACACCTTAATTACACAGATCGAGGCGTGTTTGAATTCCAGGCCAATAGTTTCCATCTCATCTGACCCTGAAGATTTTAATCCTTTAACACCTGGACATTTCCTAATTGGGACTACATTAACAGCAATTCCTGAACCTGATCTTACAAATAATAAGCTAACCCCTGCTGAAAGATGGAAATTGACACAGCAAATTTTCCAGAGCTTTTGGAAACGTTGGTCTAGAGATTATCTTTCACAATTACAAGGGCGTACCAAATGGTTGAGGGATAAACCAAATTTAGCCCTCAATGACTTAGTCTTGATAAAGGACGAAAATTTGCCTCCATTAAAGTGGCGACTTGGACGAGTAATTGAACTATATCCTGGTGCTGATGGAAAAGTTCGTGTTGTGAAACTAAAAACTTTATTGGGCGAAATGAAGCGTCCTATACATAAACTTTCCCGCTTACCATTGAGTGAATAAGACTCTAAAAAAAAAAAAAAAAAAAACATTAATTGTATATTCATAATTTGTGTCTTTATTATTATTATTAATTCAATTATGTTTCAGATTCAGAGAATGGACCACAATTGTGGATTATGGTAATTTAGCAGTTTCATTATTTTGTTTTCCTTCTAGAGATTGTAAGTATGTTTTATTTGTAAAATTTTGTGCTAAATTTAATGTTGTTATTCAATTTAAATTTGTCATTATGCATTTTTATTTTATATGATATACTGTTGAACTTTGGAAAACTTGTTTTAAATCTAAAATTGAAGATCTTTATAATAATGTTGTAATGAACCAATGTTCATCGGGGCGGAGTATGTTTCCGTCTTTTTGGTAGATAGGTGGCGCTCTTGATGCGCGCCGATGAAAAATATATCACTTGACGCTTGAACATGAAGAATGACGCATGTCATATTTATTTGATGCTTGATTATGTTTCATGGCCGCTATAGGCGAAGAAGTAATATAAGTTTATCGTTAATAATGTTATTTCTATGTTCTGAAATCTTGAAGTTTTGATTTGAAATTCTAATGCTCTCCAACCTTGACTCCTGAACGAAACGATCTTTGAATTACGCTATGAGAACCATATAGGACACTATGAAACAACAAAAAAAATTGTTGGAGGAAAGATATGGAAATAAAGATCGAATTATCCAATCACACTTAGATTACTTAGAACATTTAAATGTTATTCAAGACCCATCTCCTACGCATCTAAATGATCTTTACATAGAATGTAACAGAAGAATTCAAGCTTTAACTGCTCTGGGTGAAAATATTGAAGCATACGGTAGAATCCTAGTGCCAAAAATTATTCGTGCATTCCCCAATGATATTTGTTGCCGCTGGATTATCTATGCCAAGCGTGAAAAACTAAACGAAGGTAATATTACTAGATTGATGCAGTTCTTGGCAGAAGAAGTGGAAGGTGTAGTTGCAGCACAAAGAGTTAAAGGTACGTCTTTTTCTGATCACACCGTAAAGTGCACTGTAGAAAATTTTAATATCAATTCCAAAACAGTAAACAAACGTAAGAAAATTTCACCATTTTGTTCATTTTGTGATACTACAGGACATTGGCCTCAATATTGTGAAACTGTTACAGACTATGATACTCGTGTTCAGAAACTTAAAACTTCAAATCGCTGCTTTCTGTGTACTAACCGTGGTCATAGAGTTTCAAACTGCCCAAGAAAAAATACTACTGCACGGTGCACTAAATGCAAGAAAAGGCATCATGTTTCTATTTGTCCTCCTGTTGAAAACAATCAACTGCGGATAACTAACAGTGCTGTAAATCACATAACCTTTCCTAAAACAATTTTCACACATTTGCAAACTGCTCGTGTGTATGTTACTGGCCCCACAGGCATTACTAAATTAACACGCTGCATTTTAGATGGTGGTAGCCAAGCAAGTTTTGTTCACACAAACCTCATTGAAAAACTTAAGCTTAAAGTTGTCAGTTCTGCCTCACTTTCAGTTCAAGCATTTGAATCTTTTACTTCACAAGAACAACGTAGATGTGTTTCAACTGTCACTTTCAAGTTTGTGGAGCAACCAAGCATTTTTGATCTCCGCATTTGAAAGCTCCAATTCCTATACTACACATCCTACTGCTCCACCAGAAATAGTTCACTTTGCTCAGAAGAAAAGATTGAGAATTGCTGATCCTCCGGATGACTCTTCACTGCCCATAGAAATACTTATTGGTGGTGATCATTATTGGCAAATTGTTTCCACAGAAGCTCCAATCAAGCTTTCAGAATCTTTTGTTATGGTACCGTCAGTGTTTGGATGGGTTCTTAGTGGAACAAGAACACATACTACAATCGCTGAGAAGACTTCTGTCCATCAAGTTTGTGTGCAAGTTAAAACTGATTGTTTAAATGATCAGGTACGTCGCTTCTGGGAATTAGACTCCATAGGGATACAAGATGCGCAGAAACGAAAAATGACTACTCGAGATGATGAAGAAATTTTATCAGAATTTCACAAAACTTACAACACAATGAAGACAATCTAAGAAAAAACCATTGGTCACACCTTTGCCTACAAACAAAATTATAGCGGAAAACAGATTTCATTCTCTTCAAAAAAAGACTTGCATCTAGTGATGTGTTGTTAAAGACACAATATGACAAATGCATGCTGAATTACATTGAACAAAAGCATGTTGAAGTTTGTTCCATAGATGAATCCAATGAGAAGCCAGTATATTACCTTCCTCATCATGCTGTAAGAAAGAAAACGCAATCTGAAACCAAGTGGAGAATTGTGTTTGATGCTTCCTCGCATGCTCCAGGAATGATTTCACTGAACGATACCTTGGAAGCTGGCCCGAATCTTCTTCCTGAATCTATTGGTTGTCTACTAAGATTTCGATTGCATGAATTCGCTGTTACATGTGATGGTAAGCAAGCTTTTTTACAGTTGTCACTACATAAAGAAGATAGGGACGTCACAAAATTTTTCTGGTACAAATTAAAATCTGATTCATCTCAACCTACTACTTTTACAGATGAAATAACTGTTTACAGATTTACTCGTTTACCATTTGGCCTTACTTGCAGTCCGTTTTTACTCTGTGCTGCGACACGAGAATTGGCTGCAAAACATATCGCAGAATTTCCAATTGCTGCACCAATGATAGATAAACATCTCTATATGGATGACTTTCTTGCTAGTATGGAAACTGAATCACGCATTATAATGCTATATCACGAGATCAAGAATTTAATGGCTCTAATGAAAATTGCCTATGGAAAAATGGGCTACAAACTCTTTGAAACTCAAAGATGTACTACAAACACATGAAGAATCTCACAAAACGGAAACAACTGTCTTAGGTATTGGCTGGAATACAACTTCTGATACTTTGAAGCATGCATTCAAGACTTCCCTCTGTGTTTTTACAGACAAACCACTTACAAAGAGATGGTTACTCTCGCTGCATTGCTAGTTTTTATGATCCCTTAGGCCTTCACCGTTATTTCTGGAAAAATTTATTCAAGAAAATCATTCCAAAAGGTAATTTTTTAAATTGCTAATTTATCAACTTTCGTGCAGGTGGGGGAACGAGCGATTTCCTTCTAAACTGCCTAGCGGAATTACACTTTGTCCTATCCTTTCTTTTATAAGAAGGTCATGTATGAAAGCATTGTGGAGTCGTGGAATCACGAATTCATTAATTCAAAATAAGGGAGTCCTAATAGGAGATTTTCCCCCTTCTATTAAAATGAGATTGTCATGCCATCAATTTCTTCACAAATTTAACAATTAACCCGTTTCTTACTGGACATGGGAATTTTAAAAGTTATTGAAACAGATTTAAGTTGAGTCCTGAGTCTGTATGTGACTGTGGCCTCGGCGGCCAGGAGAATGTTGAACATGTGCTTCTTCTATGTCTAAATATGAGAGTGAAAGAAAAAGTCTTGAACTGGGACTGAAAAATTTAAATATAACTAACTGCCTCCGAGTTTTACCAATTTATTTCCGAGAGAAGTGCTTTTGACACTTTTTGTCAATTCGTTGTAAAACTTTGTAATCATCCTTAATTTTTACAGTTTTCTCTTCTGTTTATTTTGTATTGTGTTTCATACTTACTTCTGTAAGCCCCATGTGATACTATATGGTACATGGGGAACTTGTTGTGTTTCCTTTAATAATTAGAAAAAAAAAAAAAAAAAAAAAAAAAAAAAAAAAAAAAAAAACTACTAGCGGTTATAGACCAATCAGCTTGCTCCCTACTCTTGCTAAATTATTTGAACGTATTATTGTAAATCGAGTTAATAATTTCATTGAAAGTCACAACTTGCTAAAGAATTACCAGTTTGGCTTCAGACAAGGTCATTCTACAATACACCAAATCACAAGAATTACAGAAATTATCGGACAACATCTAAATAAGAAAGAGACTGTTGCTGTCCTATTTTTGGAGATCGAGAAGGCTTTTGACAAGGTTTGGCATGTTGGCTTCCTTGTCAAAATGATAAATTATCAATTTCCTCCGGACCTTATTACCACAATATTCAGCTACCTAGACAGTAGAACGTTTCAGGTTAAAATTAAAGATACTTTATCCAGCAAGAAAATTATTCAGGCCGGTCTTCCGCAAGGAAGTTTACTTTCACCAATATTATTTTGTCTATACATCAAGAATATGCCAAATATCCCAGATACTACTTTTGCCTGCTATGCGGATGACACCGCAATCATGTGCAGTTCTATTAGCCCCATCAAAGCAAGAGATAATCTTCAAAAAGCCGTTAATATCCTCACCAAGTGGTTTTACGCTTGGAAGATCAAAACCAATGCAACTGAGTCTCAAGTAATATTTTTTAGATACAACCTCAAAGAAGTAAACAACATAACACTAGATGGCGCCAGAGTACCCACAGTTAAAAATATTAAATACTTGGGTGTAATTCTTGACGATAAGCTAACGTTCAGGCCGCATATTATGTATACTCGTGAAAAAGCTCACAAGCTTTTAAGTCTATTTATGCTTTAATAGGGAGACATTCAAAATTACAACTAAGTACTAAGCGAATTCTCTATCTCCAAACAATAAGAGCGATTTTACTGTACGCAGCACCAGCATGGACAGCTACCAGCCAGATCAAATCGCCAGATTTTGCAAAATAAATTTCTTAGAACTATCACAGACTCACTCACCGTGGTTTGTAAGAAACACTGCAATACAACGTGGAATGAAAATCAAACCATTAGATAGCGAGATCTTAATTGCCTCACATAATTTCTACACCAAATGCGATAATCACGAAAATGAAGCTGTACGTAGCACAGGAGATTATGACTTTACAGTCATTCAACGCTGCAAAAGACCAAGAACGATACACCATAACGAGTTATGGTGATCGATGTGCATAGTGAATTTAATGTTTTTTCTACTTTTCATTGTTTACTTTTATTTATCTTTACTTAATTATTGCAAAGCGATATGGACTTTGCGCCCCCGGAGGCAGGACTTTTATTTGTATTATGTGTATAAAATTTCAACGTTTGGTCAGTGCAGCTATGCTCCGTCCACTATTGTTATATGCCTTAACTATTATGCCCACGCTATTCTGTTGCTCCAAGCCACGGAGGAAGGAGGACACTCAGCCGTAATACCTACGAGGAGAAAGTTATGCCAAAGTTTTTATGCTACAGATATGTTAAATTTCTTTTACGATGTGAAAGTTATGCTTCAGATGTTAAATCGCTACTTTGCCCAAGTTATGCCACAGTTACATACTGCCACATTGGATGTCATTCAACACTTCAAGTGTACAGGTTTATTCCAATATTTGGAATTTTTTTTTTTCACTTTTAGGATTCCTACTAAGGACAATTATAGATAGGTAAAGACTTCAGGGTCGTATACCTACTGAATTAGCGAAGACCTAAGACTTTGGCCGATTTGAATCAGGATGAATTCCAAAGTTAGGAGATTCTTGTGGAGGCTACCTTAATTATTTGAAGAAAAGTTCTTCAGCGATGACGTCTATATCTCAAAGTGTCGTCTACCAGGAAGGTGATGTTATTATTTTCATCGGAAAGTCGGACAGTAAGAATTCCTGCGTATGGGTAGGGAGAAATAATCCCGGTTTTATGAGGAAGGCAGCGGACGATGTTTATATTAGTAAGTTCAGAATATTGCAAAGTAAAGTATTAGGCTGTTTTCCTAATTGCGATTAAGAACAAAAAGGCAATTTACATCTGCCCACCAGCGGCCGAGCTCTAAAATCGCTGAACACTGGTAGTTCGGTCCGATGTTTGAATCCCGCGAACGGGCTGGCTGCATGGGCGTTTTTGTGGTTTCCCCACGTGTGACGTGTATATGAGCCAGTTTCCCATAGAAAGTCCCCCACGAAGGCATCCCTCCCCTTAAGCAGATAGCCCTAGAGTGCTTTGCCGTATTCTCATTCCACCAAAACATAATAAAATTTGCATCTACAAATCCGCGTTTATTCGAATATCAGTAGATTGAAGATGCAGTGAATATGCTTAAATTTTTTTTTTTTTTTTTTTTTTTTAAATTTAGATAAAAAGAAGTGTAAAAAAAGTACACTAAAATTATTGATAAAAACCTCTTGCATAACTGTCTACATGCAAGGAACACTTATGTGACATATAAATTGCTAATTACTAGAAAATTTATAGTTGGATAAAAATAAATGTAAACGTTTATAATAAACTCAATGTTAATTATTTATTTACAGAAAAAATAATTCCATAATTTAATAAGTTTCTATTATTAATTAAAAACATTGAAAAGAAACTAACTATTATTCTAATTCTAATTTAAATTAGATTTTATTTACTTAAGTCTGATTTTTTTCATTGAAATGAAATCATGAAAATAATGAATTCCGTAATAATGAAGTGATATCAATGAAAATCAGAGCAGTTTTACTAGGAATGAAAGTACTTCAAAATATTCAATTCCTCATTTTAGACTTTTAAACTGCATCAGAAGTATTTTTAATTGAAATTAATATATTTACATTGAAAATTCTTGGAAAGGAGATTTAGCTTGTCATCCCAATTTATTTTTCTATTTATTATTCGTAATATCCCAAGATGATTTGACGAAATATTCAATAAATATCATAATAATATTATTACTTTCAAAGCGTTTTTTTTTTATGCATTAGGTTAAAAAACTATTAATCATAATATGATTAATATTATTAAACTACTAATAATGGTTTTAATTATATTATTAATATATTAAAATATGATTAATAATACTTTTCTCTTAATACTTTAAGTGATCACGAAATTTCTTAAAAGGTATTAAAATAAGACTTTAAATTATACTCTCACTGTCCCAAATTAGTTGATACATTTAGCTCGAAAATTTTCACAAATTAGTTGTTACATTTCAAGTAGGTGAAGTCATAAATAACTTTAAATATTTTAATATCAATATAATAACTAAAATTTTGCCCGATTTTATTTTGATATTATATTTTAAACTGAATTTTCAGCTGAGCGCAAGTTGAGCGTGTCAGGGGGAACGTGAACATCTGTTTGAATAAGCAATTATCTGTTTTTGAAATGGTTTACAAATGAATGCAAATTGAGCGTGTCAGGGGAAAGGTGAACATTCCTTTGCATTAGCAATCATCTGTTTTTGAAACAATTTAAGGCTGAACGCAAATTGAGCGTGTCAGGGGGAAGGTGAACATTTGTTTGCATTGGCAATCATCTATTTTTCATAAAAAGTACGTCTTAACGTAATTTATTTTAAGAATGTCTCCTAGAAAATACAGCACTGAAGAGGAGAGAAAAGGAGCTAAAGCTGCATAAAAACGGCTTTCTCGACAATAGCAGATAATAGCTTTATAATTTCCGATACACAGTTCTGCGCGCTGGCAATAAAAAGGTTTCCCACCCTGTAGAGTGTTGCCATTTCTCTCTTTTAAATCGCTGTGTTTGTTACTCAATAATTCGTTAAAGATTTACAAACTATGAAATCGATAATAAAACAAATTTCAAATTTGGTTTCCGCATGACCTATTCGTAGGAAGATTACGTCATTCGAAATTCGATGGCTCTATGTACCGTTGTTTTATCCCAAAAAAATACACATGCATTTATGCAGATTTCCATTATTTAATTTCTTCAAATATAATGCAAGATTCTAACATTTGGTGGCAACAGTTTGAAAAGTGAAACTGACATTTATACTGATTCAACGCAAAATCGCAAAACAAAAACAAATGTGCTTCAGGGACAAAGCCCCCCCTTTTTTACTTATTACGCTCTCCGCCCTTAGGCAGTACGCGGAGAGGGATGTCTTTTTA